CCCCCCCCCCCAACCATTTTCAAGTAACAGTTGGTAGTCAATTTCTTTCTATACGACAGGTAGAAAATGCCCCTAACCCGGACTGCCTAATTATGTTAGTTTTGTTTAATTCAAAAAGGGGTTTTAATGTTGTAAAAGTAAAAAAAAAAGAAGGTAAGTGTCTGGTACACTTACAGTCAGTTTTCAGCTGCGATAAACGCAGTTGCACTTTGCCTGGCTAAAGATAAAACAACATTGTGCATGCAAAAGAAGTCACAAATGCTAGAACAAAATAAAACAAGCATACTTGTGAAACTTTCTCCCATCCCTTGTCTTCTGTTTATTTGAGCAGCCCCAAGCCACACAAAAATGTTCTGACGGCTCTCCATGTCTAACTCGAACCTTTTCCATTCCGAACCACAAGTGAAAACTGAAAGACGTGTACGCTGATCACGCATGTATGACGAGTAACTGAGTTACGTAAACAGTCATCAGCACTAGTACTAGCCGCGCTAGCGAGTACAGGTACAGCCGGTGTCCAAAATGGCGCAGACGTAATACCAAAGATTCTCTACAAGAATCTTTGGTAATACGCCCACGTGCTCAGTCAGCGAGTGCGCTTGCCCGTCTAGATCTAAGATGTTTGTGGGCGCAACGTATCCTAAAATATCGTGAATGGATGTCATCCACACTTTGCCCAGCAGTTTGTATCAATTTGTCTAAATTTAACCAATTTTTTCGACAACAATCAAGGCTAGATTAAAAACTTTCCTTCAGAAATTTATATATAAAATACAAAAAATCTCCGATCTTGGAGGTCCCGTGTGCAAGTTGCGCACGTTAAAGATCCCTTGGTGGTCTAAAATCGATAAGAGTAGGTTTCGGCCGCCACCCGCGCAAAATCCAAAATTTCCTACCAATTGAAGATGTTTGGTGTCTCCCGCGCGCTCATATGACCTTATGCAGTTGCGAGACGCCTTAAAACACTTACCTAAATTTTTAAAAAAAATTTAAACCAACCCTATTTCTATCTTTTGGGTCCAATAGACCCCAAGGCCATGTTATTTTGCTCTAAAATCGCCAATTTTTGACCTACGAATCTGAAATTTCTTGACTTTTCCTGATTTTACCCCCTGCCTAACCACCCCAAATTTTGTTTCTCTCACGTGCATGGTTTACTCACCCCGAAATGTCTCCCCTGAATTTTGAGATTTACATCTTTGGGGTTCATTTGGACCCTCTAATAAATAGAGTGAAAATAATATGGTGAAACCACCCATTTCTTTCTTTGGGGTCCATTTGGCGCTTTTGGGGTTTTGATGTTGTAAAAACTTATTCCTACTATGACAACTTGCTCTTTTTATCCATACAACATGAATTCTAGAAATCAAATGAATCTTCAAATTAGAATATCAAGAAAATACATATCAATATCAAACAGTGACACTATTAACAAAAAGGTAAGAGTGCTTTACACCATTTACTCCAACAGGTATGCTCTAATCTATGATGACTAGAAGTTTCAGATGAAGTCTAAAAAGGAGCATAATGCATTGAGTAAATGAAGTTAGCATGACTGAATGGCTCACTACTCCTTTGAATGGACTTGAAACGAAGAAGAAAAAAAATCACATGGTCTGCTGAGGAAGATAATTACGTACTGTGAAACACTTTCTCAGAGACATAAGTGACAGGGAGCTATAAAAGTACATGTAACGTCTTTATGATTTATATTTGTATTGTTGGTAATAATTAACATGGTTGCAATTTTGTAAGACATAAATGCATATAAAAATAAAATATTAAAATGTATTACATGTATATATAGATTATAGCTCTATACCGTATTATAACTTTTCAGTGCTCGTTGCAAACAAATATCACACACACACGCACACGAAGCAGACAAAACCAATTCTGTTGCACTGTAGAGAGGGGGAGGGTGGGCTGTTTCTTTAAAACCAGCGTTGAAAAAAGTGACGGGTAGTTTGAAAAAAGCACATTAAAATCTCGGAGACTTTTACAGACTACAGCCAAACCCCGTTACACCGCCTACCTTGGGATGAGGATGGACTTGGCGGTACAGCGGGGCTGATGGTACAACGAGGTTTTCATGTCTTCTGTTAGATAAATGTAGCACCGAATGCCCAACGTCAGGAGAACTTGTGTACCAATCACTGGATGGATTTATGAGTTATCTCCGTTCGAGCTGTCACTTAGACTTAACCGTGAGCCCTCACAAAACAAAAACCAGAAAGTCAGCCTGTAAGGTATTGGGCTAATATCTGTCGGCGCCAGATTTTTTACGGCGGGGGGCATAGATGGCTAGGTTCCTTTAAAGTTTCTCAAGGCGACTTAAAAATAATATCATTTTCGTAATCAGCTTATCGAATTTAGTCGGATTCTCGCGAGGAACAAAATTTTATTCTGAATTACAAAGTTATATTTTGTACTCTTCTGCACAACATCAATGTCGATCTATCCATATTGCTTGCAATCTGCAAGGCAAGGTTTGGGGAGGTGGGATGGGCGGGGACGGAGCAAATTGGTGAAAAGAGTGCGATCTAGTCCTAGTTTTAGCTCGTTGAGACTTATTGTGTATGAAAATGAAAGATTATCAAGCAGCCACCGAGTGGATAGTGGATGTGCCGTGCGCCGCCTACTGCGTAGGCCTACTTCTGGCGGCCAGTTCACTGGTGATACAAAGGGGTCAAATTACAGTTGTAGGACCGTACAACAACTGAGGCAGTTGACGGATGGCTGTGTAAAGGCGCAAAGACTAGATCTATGTTTATATTATAGGTGACGCTTTTCGTACAATGGCTAAACCTGGCAGTAAGCAGGGCTGGCGGTACAACGAGGTTTGATAGTACATAATATTATACTCTCGTTGAGTTTTAAAGGACTCGGTGATACTCACACAGCCCTATTGCAGACAGATTTGAGAAAATACATCCTTTGTTACTTGATAGATCTATTATTATATTATCCGAATAATCATGTGACATATGACTCGTGGTTAGACTGTTGGGCTAGCAACCTTGAGGTCGTGGGTTCGAATCCCGTCAGCAACTCGGTATTACACTTTTGGGAAAGGCACTTAACACGAATTTTCCTCACTTTTTCCAGACGGGTGGTGGGTACCCGCCTATAGATAGCGAAAGATATTGTAAGTTAAATTTAGTTTGTTAGTACATTTGAGTGTTTTTCGATTGTTTGCACTGTATGCTTCCCGGGAAGCCAAGAATGTTTTTGAGTGTCCTTGGATCTGCTAAGGTAATAATGTAATTTGTAAAACACACAGAGTTTTCTATCGAGAGCGAATATAGGTCTAATATGCGCTATACAAATACTGGTTTATTATAATAAAGGCTGTTAAACTTAGATTTAAATAATCGAAACAAGAGGGAAAAGGCCAAAGGTTGCTAAAAAACAAAAACTCTGTTACTTTTTGATACCATGGCTAAACCCTCCTTTTGACTTAACGTGAGGGGGCTCTCGTGGCCTAGAGCTTAAAGTGTTTGCCTCTCATTCAATTGGTCCCGAGTTCGAATCTGGATAGCGATGGAGATTTTTCTTCTCTAATTTGTCTCCTTTCACCTCCTTTCCTGCTCCCAAGCAATATTCTGTCGTCTGCTTTCGTCTTCACTCTCTGCCCCCACCCCCTCACCTCATTTGTCCCATCCTCTTGGCTCCAGACTCTTTCTGTAACCTTTCTACTGCTTCTCCTTGGCTCCTTCTTACTGCTGTCTTTCAGCCACACCCCTGATCTTATGGTAGGTAAGATGTACACCTAGCCTACTCGGAAAAGGGCGAAAAATCTCGGAGCTCCCGGGTGCAAATTGCAAACGTTAAAGATCCCTTGGTGGTCCAAAATCGATAAGAGTAGGCTTCGGCCGCCACTCTGGCAAAATTCAAAATTTCCTACCAACTGGAAATGTTTGGTGTGTCCCGCCCGCATACCAAAACAAACTAAACGTGAGTAATTTTAAATCATTTAAATGTCAACGTATTATTAGCGGACATCGAATACGCTTAAAGAAAAACACGGTGGAGGGGCTTGGTAGAGACACTGTCTAACACGTTCACCCTTTTAGATAACCCCTTTCTCCTTGACAACGGGTGGTCGTCTTTGAGGGGTTCGACTGAATTGTCGACCCTGATCTAACGACCACCTGCCCAAAGCAATCATCTGTACAAACAAGCATCTCCCCCTCCTTCAATTGCATTTTGTTTCGTTTTTTTTTTATACTGCAAGAGAAATATACTTGATAAATATAATACATCATGTACTCATAATAATGATCCTATACGGTCGAAATCGTCCAACTCGACCACCCATTGTGAGGAGAAAAGTCTTTGCCTTAGACAGGTGAATTTCTTGGACAGTAGCATTATAAAAAACGCAACAGGGAATTGGAATGTGGTCACATGTGCAGGAAGCTGTTATATCAGATTTGACTCCACGTTTGTACACACACACACACACACACACACACACACACACACACACAAACACACACACAAATACACATGCACATTCTCTTTCTGTCTCTTTCACACACACACACACACACACACACACACACACACACACACACACACACACTCACTCACTCACAAAACATATATATATATACACAAAGCTATATATGAAAACGTAGAACAACGTGCGCTATTACACCTCTATCCGCCACACCAACTGTCTTAGCTGTTACATGTACTACTTACTGCTTACTGATCCTATAATTCAAGAGGATCGAAGGGGCGCTGTGTGACAGTGAGCCTCGTCGGGTGCCTCCACTTTTCACGGTTTTTAGTTGCACAGTCCCTATTAAACTAATGTAAATGTGCCCATGTGCGCCCCCCCCCCCCCCCCCGATATCGCCAGCGAGTTGCAAGGACAAGAGTTCGACAGTTCGAGACTTTTATGTCATTGTGCTGGTGAGGAGTGGGTGGGTTTTTTTTCTTTCTTTTTTTTTTTGATCACTAGCTTTATTCGTACACTATAATGCTTCGTTTATTTTCCATCTCTACTCTTCTCTCTATGTTCACCAGGAAACTCCTATGATGGCCTTCCAGACAAAACCGACTTTCGACTTGCTTCTGTTGGGCAAGACTGGCCATGGCAAATCCGCAACTGGCAACTCTATCTTGGGGCGGAAAGAGTTTGTAGCCTCCTCCTCCACGTCTTCGGTGACTTTTAACGTCAGAGCGGCTTGGGCAGAGCGTGAAAGTTGCTTCATTAAAGTCATCGACGGTCCAGGGATTGGGGAAACCCGACTGAACGTGGAAAAGGCTGTGAAGAAATCGATCACGGACATGGCCAAAGCGATGACCATGTGCACTGAAGGCTTCCACGCTATGATAATTGTTTACAGGTTCGGCATTCGGTTCACAAAAGAAGAACAGGACAGTTTAAACTTCCTCAAAGGCATGCTGGGTCATGACGTGTTTCGGAAGTACGGCGTGTGTGTGATGACCTGTGGCGACAACTTTCTAGACTCGATGGAGGAAGATGGAACCCCAGACATGACGCCTCTTGAATGGTGCAAAAAGCAAGACAACGACTTTGCCAATTTCATCCAAGAATGCGGCGGGCGGGTTGTGTTGTTCAACAACCGATCGAGAGATCCGAACACAAAGTGGGAACAGGTGGAACAGTTAGTTAATGTTGTGAACGCGCTCCCTAACAACGGCGTTCGCTACACCAACGCCCAGTTTGTCCAAATGGACGGCGAGCGCAAAAAGTTGATTTTGAAATCAAAGCTACCTCAGATGGAAGAAAAAATTAAGAAGCAATGCAACCTTCTGACACAATCCTTAGAAGAAATCAAAATCGACCAGGTGGATGCTCCACTACAGGTGGCGGATCTAAAGATGAAAGCAAATCAGCTGATAGAGGAAATCTATCTGGCGGATCAGGGAACCGGTGTTCTCCAACCTCTCAAGGCAATCGTAGAGTCCTTTTTGTACATTACAGACAAGTTTGACCAGGCGCAGCGCGAAAAAGACCAAAAGAAATATGCAGACCAACTAAAGAAAATGAAAGAGGAATTGGCAGAGAGCAAAAGGAAGTTTGATGAAGTTCAGGATGAATTGCAGAAAAAGGCAGAAAAGGGAGGGTTTTTTGACTCTTTGGTCAAATTTGGAGAAGGCGTTTTAGCTCCTTTAGAATATCTGGGGAGAAAAGCTGTTGAAGGTGTGACGTATGTTGGGGGAAAAGTAGTCGATGGTGTGGTGTATGTTGGGGAAAAAATAATGGAAGGTGCGGAGTATGTTGGGGAAAAAGTAATGGAAGGTGCAGGGGTTGTTGGGGAAAAAGTGACCGAAGCCACGGTGAACAAACTTATTAAGTGATTGAAACAACAACAACAATAATGAAAGAAAGGCTGCTTATACAGCAAACTTAGTAACAGGCGTGGCTATATAAAACATTTATGAAAGTCGATATGTTGAACTGCAAATCATTGATAACACAATCTTTACCCAAGACCCCCCCCCCCCTTTAAAAAGACCCCCCCCCAAACAAACAAACAAACAAAAAATAAATAAATAAAAAATAAACAAAACAGCTACAACAACAAAAAACAACCCAACTTACATTCAGTCATTCATTCATCTCCTTACGTCTTCTGTCCTAAAAGAAGTAGGCCTTCTGGGACTTCAATAACCAGGCACTTCGTGTACTTCGCCAATCACCTCGGCCCTTCTCTCTCTCTCTCTCTCTCTCTCTCTCTCTCTCTCTCTCTCTCTCTCTCTCTCTCTCTCTCTCTCTCTCTCTCTCTCTCTCTCTCCCCTCCCCCCCTCTCTCTCTCTCTCTATCTCTCTCTCTCTCTCCACTAATTTCGTAAATTCACATAATGCACTGTAAAGTTGTCAGTTTCTTTTTAATCAAAAATGTTACAGGTACAGTATAAAGATTTCAAAGATTTGTTGATTTTCTTTTTTTGTATGGAAATACACATATATAGATAGGTCTATTGTTAGTGCTTGTTACATAATGATGATGATGATGATGATGATGATGATGATGATGATGATGATGATGATGATGATAATGTTGGTGATGGTGATGATGATGCTATTGTATTTGCTAGCTAGCTATAGAGTTTTGTTTTACACGTGTGATCTGTATACAACTTGATTTTAAAATACATTAAAACTCAATTTCAGAGTGATGAACAATATTTAGACGTGTTGTGCTTGTTACACTTTGTTGTTTTTATGTTACACTAGAAACCGAACAAATAAGAGATGAATTAAAGGACTATGTCCCCGTGAAGTGTATTCCTGAAATTGAAATTGTCCTTCTTGGGAACGGAAACCATTTATTTGATTGATTGCCTGTTCTCATGAATTTCTGGAACAATTTTTTTATTGAGTCTTTAATGGCGTACAGAACAAAGAAATCAAGGTCACATGGTCAACCACAATGGTTTACCATTCATCAAAAAACCTATAATTACTAGTACAAGACATCACTCGGCTTTTCTGTAGGAACAAACAGAACAGAGCGACCTTTGATTACTTTGAACCTGCGTAGAGTCTTTTTGTGGTGGTCCAAAGGACCAGTCGTGCTTCGTGATCGATTGAAAATTTCTGATGACCCCCATCGACACAAGTTAGATCATTCATGAGTCATGTTGCTTCGAATTGCCTGTCAAGACTTAGTATGAACTGAATGAAATACAGTATACCAATAGAAAGACGGTGTATATAAATAAATCTATGTAATAAACATTATTTTCAGAACATATTTAGGTCCCACTAGCCTAGGGGTTGCAATTCGTGCATTAAAAAAATAAATAAAAATAAACTTGGCACCTTCAATAGTAATCCACTAGTCCCATTCATGTACCCCCAAAAAACAACAACAACAAAACAACAACAACAACAACAAAAACAAAAAACCCAAACAAACAACAACAACAACAACAAAAAACAACCAACAAGCCCAAAGCAGAACAAAACAAAACAAAAACTGGTCTAGTTGAACAAATCCGCAACAGTCTGGCTGAGTATGAGGAACAATTAGACTATCGTACTATTACATTTGTAGTAAGAACAACCAACCGCCCTCCCGCGCCCCCTTTTTTATGCACGGACACATTTCTGAAATCCTCTAAGTTATATCTAAATCCTCGTATTTCTATTCTTTAAATACCGTACACGTAAAATATCATCATTATTATTTTCCTTTGATTCGACACCCCCCGGTTTAAAAAAATGTTAAGAAACAATAAATAAAGTAAATATAAGTAAAACCAAAAAATAAAGAAAAGAACTGAAAAGGTAGAAAAAAGAAAATGTAGAAAGAAAGAAAACGAAAAGACGTGATGTACTCTCCGATAATGAAAAAGATTTGAATTGGTGCAGCTTAGATAACACCCCCCCCCCTTCCTCCCGGCCGCCAGAGGGCTCTCGTGGCCTAGAGGTGAAGGTGTTTGCCTCTCATACAAAGGCACCGGGTTCGAATCCGGGTAGAAACGGAAAAATCTTATTTTCTGAAATTGTCTACTTTCACCACCTTTCCTATCTGCTCTCTACTCTAACAATTTTCTGTCGTCTGCTTCCGTCATCACTTTCTGCCCCCATTCCCTCACATCCTTTTCCCCCTCCTCTGGGCTCCTGACTCTTTCTGCAGCCTTTCTACTGTTACTCCTTGGCTCCTTCTTACTGCTGCCTTTCAGCCACACCCCTGATCTTCTGGTAGGAAAGATCTACACCTAGCCTTCTCGGACAAGGGGCGAAAAATTTCGAAGGTCCCGTGTGCAAGCTGCGCACGTTAAAGATCCCTTGGTGGTCCAAAATCGTTAAGAGTAGGCATCGTCCGCTATCCGAGCAAAATTCAAAATTTCCAACCTACTGAAAATGTTGTGTCCCGCGCGCTCATATTTTTATGACATTATGCAGTATGCAGTTGCGAGCGCCGTAAAACACTTACCATACCCAGGCCGCCGCCCGTTCCAGTTTGTACAAGCTTCAAGTGGCACCATAAACCATGTACTTGTGGGGAGCACGTCTGACATGCAGTGACGACTGTGCGTTGCTGTATGCTAGATGTCTATAAATTTCGACTGTAATGAGTGGCCGGTGTTGTGTTGTGTGTTGAGGCGCTATCTCGTGACGCAAACACAGAAGGCATGAGGCACCATTGCCGGGATCGAAACTTCGAATGTGTAGTAGATCTAGATCTATAATAACAAACTCCCTCCTCATATGATCTCATCCAGATTTATGTTCCATCTAGATCAGTCAGATCAGGCGATCAGTATCTTTTAAGAGTTCCCAGAAAATGGGATTGTTCACAGCACTTCCCGCTTCTTGAACACATTTTGTAAAAAAGTATACTAATATATGGCCTACGTCACAGCTCCACAGCTGACCAATGACACATTTTAGAGGCAAAACTTGTTACAAGAAATTTATTTCACAGTGAACATATTTTTTTGCACTAAAGGTTATCAAAACATGGGTTCAATAAGCATAAAGTTGCGATTAGAAAACAATGACAGACTTGCTTTTAAAGGCGATATTGCTCGAGCTGTTGACTTTTTAAAAGCTGTAGAAACCATAGACTTGTATTTTTTAAAAATTAGATCTAGTATTTATTAAGGATTTTTTTTAGAATACAGTGTACAGGTGTTTGAAAAAAACATTCGTCAGTTAAGACAAATTGATATAAGTCACTGTGCAAACGTTGGAGAATCTACGTTCAATACTGATTCCGTCCATGATTTTTTCAGGCTCTGGACAGAATTATTTTCCCCTGTTCAGTTTTAGACCTGGGGTGCATCTATTTAATGCAGAATTTTGGAAAGGAAAGAAAGATTTGAAACTGGTCTAAAATTTTTAAAACCATTTTCATCAAGTCCAGATTTTTTCAAAAGGGGTCTAATATGTGCTGCCTTAAAGCAATTTGGTACTGTGCTTGTGAGGAGAGAATCATTTACAATTTGGGTGATATGTGGAAGAAGTTCATGCAAACATTTTTTTTAAAGGCTGGTGGGCATGGGGTCTAAGGCGCAACT